TAATGAGTCTTTTGATCCTAACGAGCACATCAACTATTATAGAACTATCATGCATACTCAACAAGTCTCTGATGCACTCCTCTGTCATATCTTCCTGGTCACTCTCAAGAGTCAAGCTTGCAATTGCTCCCGAGTAGACCTATCCACCCCTTTGCCAACCTCGTAGGCTTTTCATCGAGAAATTTATTACAAATCCGATGAGTATCAATGATTTTTCCCATCTTTTTAGGATTTGTCAAAATGAGAAAAAAAAAAACTCTTGAAGAATACTTCTAAAGATTCTCCTCAGAGTCTTATCAAAGACCCTTAAAAAGTTACTTCATAATATTTATGTAATCTTAACATTATTCAAATAACAAAATTCTTATCAAAATTGCTATGTGATCAAATTTTATTTTCCCTAAACAAGGTCACAATCATAACCTTAAGGGTAATAATGTTCTAAAGCCAAACCAACTCGCCCATTTGATTTGAGAAATACTCAACTATTGTTGCATCCAAAATCCAAATCAATGCATAGCCAGTTCAACAGGATTCGATTCGACCTCTAATAGCCGTTAATCATTCGAGCTCGATTGTAGGCTCGAGCTCGAGCTCGAAGCTCGATAAGCTCGGCTCGCGAGCTCGTTAACAAGTCGAGTTCGAGCCGGCTCACGAGCTGGCTCGGCTCACTTACATCCCTAACCTCTATTATGTTGAAGCATCGAGCAACACTATCACAATCTTACCCAACATAACTTATGCATTATAATATGTTATATAAGATCAAATACGAGAAAAGAATTTTGTGGAGAAAAAAAATTCGCCCAAAATCTACTTAAAAGAAATTTCTTATTGTCATTTAAATTTATAACTCAGATCCACTAAATCATCAATGTACTACGATTCACCGACATAGCCACAACAACGTGAACACGAAACAGACACTAGACGTGTCAATTATTGAAAATATAAGACATATATAAATTAGACACGATATTATAATTTTTATATATTAAAAATAATATATATAAATTAAATAAGCAGTGTAAAAATGGTTTTGAAACATTGATGTTGTGACGACATTGGAAGCCAATGTTGAGATGACATCAAACATTATTATGAATTCCAAGTCGCAATATGCCAGAAAGAAATGAAAATTGGAATATTGAGTGAATAGGGTACTGACTACATTAGATTGATTTGGAGCTGCATAAAGAAAATAAGAAATTATTTTTTATTTTATTTACAAATAAATTTTGAAATGGAAGAAATTATAAAATATTTATGGCAAGTATTGGACACACGCGTTCAATTTATTTTTAATATTTTTAATTAGATACATCTTTGACATGTCCGATACATTGAGACGAATGTTGTGTCCACTACATGTCGGACGCATGTCATGTCTAATACGTATCAGACACAACATATCTTTTTAAAAGGAAGTATTGGTGCATCATAACAATGTATAGAATAATACACAATTCAAAATTTACACACACACACACACACATATATATATATATATATATAAGAACTACTTACATCCCCAATAATGATTTTAAAATAACTACAATAAAATATGTTTTTCTCATAATTACAAAATAATTCATCTATAATAAAGAAAACATCATATAATAACGAATGAGCAAACAATCCATTATGTTACACAAAAATTATAACTGTATTCAATATATGAAAAATAAAATATTATGTATGCTATCAATCAGTTAATCATAAAAATTAATGTATTAAATAAATAAATCTCTATAATACTCCTAATCAAGTATCATATACAGTACAATCATGATAAAGATTGTCATTTTAAAATCATATGTCGTATAGGGCATCATATCACATCATAAGGTTTAAACAATTGAATTCATCATGTATAGCAACATATCATAAAATATATCAAGCAAGTTCTATGTTATGCCTAATCATATCATTTCAAGTGATTTTTTTTTTTTGAATCAAACATAAAAGTTAGGTAAAATATCATATCACATTATATAAATAAGAACATTTATGTAATATAGTACATGCGAGTCGTCACTCCAAGCCCATCGGCACTCAAAATATATCACATTCTCCTTTATATAACGCATCTTGTATCACGTTCACACCACTAACTCATATTTAAAAAAAAAAAAAAATCCATAGATCCACCCTGCTAAGCAGGGCATCATGACTTCACCATCATGAATCATAACAACCACCATCTCTGGCATACACACATTACATAACACAACATAATTATCATTTTAAATCATACTCACTAAAGCTCATTGTATCATTTGCAATTCATATAAAAATGACATGTAAATAAAAAATAATTGAGTTTATAGGATAACTCTTATTTTATATGTAAACTCCTAACAAATCAATTATAATATGCATATCATTCTTCTAGTATTAACCTGACATGACAACCATTTATCAAATTTTCTTAATTTATTTATCTTACTCAATTTAGGGCCACAATATATAAAAATATACAAATAATAATTCAATATGATCATATCAACATATACAAAATGATTAGAACAATAACATATTAAAAATTACACTGCAAAAGTTTGTTAAAATTTTGAAATATTAAAATTTTTGTTAGTTCTAGTTAAATTAAATTTAGAAAAAATAAAATAAGAAAAATGACCAAAATTATAGGCAAGATATCGGGTGCCCGCCGCAAGCCAAAAATTTTTCTAAACTAGGTTTTCAAGCAAAAACAGCTCTAAGACCTCCAAACCTTCATGTTCTCTCGCCTCTCCCTCCCTTTCTTACCTTTAACCCTTCTTATTTGTTTAGAAGGAAATCAGAATGAAATGGTCGTGTTTGGTTTCCTAGAAGTGGAAGGGGATATGAAGGGTTAATGATGAGGGTTCAATTTGTAATTACATGAACTATTGAATTTCTAACATAAAATTCATATAAATCTATATATTTTTATCATTAAATCTAGAGATCTAAAAATTATGATAAAATAACTATAAAATAGTAAATCATGTTTAAAATGCTTTGTTGAAAATAGCTTGCAAAACGAACACCAGTCGATTTCAAAAAATTTGCTTATACTAACATTAGTCAATCTTTTTAAAGAGTTTCAAATAAATAAAAAATATATTATTTTCATATATAAAATACACATAAAAATATGAAAAATAGCTATAGATAAAGTACAACATTATCTATAGTGTGATGAAGATAGTTTGCAAATCAAACTTATAAAGAGTTCTGATATATAATTTGTAGATTACATATTAAAATATTCAATATAAAATTTTAAAGAGTCATACTTCTATTTCTAATTCGAACAATCATAAAAATTTTTAAAGATTAAAAAAATTTTGAAATTTTATTTTAATAATTATTTTAAAGCATCATATAAACTAAACTTTCATTAACATAAATATTTTTAAAAAGCAAACATATAAGAGTCATGTAGTTGTTTCTAGATCAAAATCAAACATGTGGGTATTACAAACATTATTTAGATAAATAAAAAAACATTGATGAATTTCTCTCAATATTTAGAGTGACGCCCTAAATTAATAATTTAGGGGTTGTTTGGTTTGATGAAAAGTGAGTGTTAAGTATTCTAAATACAAGGGTTTTAAGAATTTTAATATTTGGTTTAATGAAAAAGGAATGAGATATGGGGGGGGGCAACCAGCTCAACATGCCAGTCCAGCAAAAGCCGAACCAGTCGAACCAAGCAAATGGGGCAGGAATAGCAGGGAATTTGGCCCCCTTGTGGGGACCATCAAACCTATAATTACATATGTGAGGAGAAGGATTAGGAAAGGAATTAATGAGAGGATTAGAATTCAAAATAAAAGGGGGAATTAAGTAAGGCAAGAGGGTTGTTTTGGGGGAATCAAGAGAGCTTATTTAAGAATTATTCTAGGATTTATGGGGATTATGTGAAATTTGATTTTTGTTGTAGTTTTTTTTTTTCTTTGAGGGACTCCTAATGATGTCTAGGTGGTTTGGGAGAGTCGAACTACCTCTTTAATTGTAGATCATTGTATCTTGCTTTTATTTTGAAGTATTAATCCAAAAAATCAGCCATCGTTTCTCAATCCCTTGCAGTTTTTATTCTAATTTCTCGCTGATTTTACTTCCAATGCATATCAAATTGGTTTTAGAGCGAGGTAAATGACAGCCAAGAAGATGGATGCACTGCAAGGTGAGATGGAACAAACTAGGGCCGAGATGGACGAGAAATATTCTGTAATGGAGGAAAAATACTTCCTATCACATTCACAAGAGTCCAAGCTGGTTATTCATATATTATAATCTCGCCTTCTCCAATTAGGTAGACTTTTGTAATCTCCTACTACATAGTGGATTATTTAAACTGGACCAAACCAAGTGAATTTTCCCTCATCTAGAGTTTTCCATGTAAAAACTGACATCACTTGTGAGATTCTCTTATCTGTGTGCATATGAATCTTTAAAATACTTACTATACCACCATTATTTTTCTAGCACGCTACAATAGTACAAGTAAAATTATAGTTTTTACATTATAGGATTACTAAGTTATCAAAAGAATATTGATGGTTTTTCTTGTTGATGTATTATAGTCTGTGAATGACATAAATCCAATATATGTTCATAATGTGCAAAGGGGTGTTCAAGAAGCATCATATTTTTTAATAGAAATAAGAGAAATTTTTAGCCACACTAAATGGCATGTTCAACACAATTTCTTGTAGCATTCAAGTATCAAAATGTTGAATCGTAAGGAACAGTGTCCCATTCTTCATAGACCCGTGATTTGGACACTAATGAAAAAGACCCAAATAGCATGGCATGGTCCAACATATCATAAGAATGCTAAACATGCGCCCATTTCTATCCCCTGCTACACTAATCTTTTGTTTCGCAAACTGTCCCAAACTAAGTTAATTGTTAGAACCAATCTCAATTTGAGATTAATCAATTTGGCTAACAAAAGCATTTTCACCATAGATTATTGATTTTCAAGATTCTATTATAATAGAAAATACCATCTCCTGCACACAGATTGCAGATGGCGGATATTGCAATGGGAGATGTTCGCCAAAAGATTGTGGTAGCCAGTGTAATGGTGCAAGCATAATATAATGGCCCCTTCAGAAGTTCCCTAGGAAGTCAGAGGCAAAATTGTAGTGAGCTAATGTAGAACAATGTTATCATCAATTATTAATCAACTAATCATATATATTTAGGATTATTTGCAAAAACAAGCTATTAATGCATGGATTTCCGGAAACCTGTAGTCTCCTTGTCTGCTCATTGACTTGACTATGGCTTCATTTTTCCAAATTCCAAGCCCCAAGAGCAACATGCGTATAATATTGACACCTGGAGCTAGAGCCGCAAGAAATGGTGCCAGGTTGCTAGAACTGCAACGCGGAAAGAACTAACGCATATATATAATAGAAGGATAGCTGTTATACAACACCTCACCTGAATAGAGGCCAAAAAAGTATGAACACCAACCCAACACTTGTATGCACCAGCTTCCGGTTCATTTTCTAAAAAAGAAGTAAATGCTTGTCATTTTTTTTTTTTTTTTGAAGAAAATTTTTGCCTAGTTGCTTGGTTAAAGAATTATTATTTTGTCCTTTGCAGGAGAAGAAAATTTATTATACTGCATGGTTAAAGCAATATTAAGAATAATTGCGCACATTGCCTGTTTGCATTTTTTTAGGGAGAGTTATATCAGGACAGCATTTATAAGTGCCAAGTTACCACTGATATAATTTTAACTAAGTGGTACGCTTAGATAACAATAAGACAAACTAGTTGCCATATAATAAAAGCTGTATCAGTTGCCTAGAGTGAACTAGCAATAATGGAGTTACGAAAGTATTTTTTGCTGCATCACTTAAAAATGGGTGACTGAAGCAATGTTTTGGATAACCAAGTTGTTGATTATTGAAGAGGAAAATAAAGGCAAAGCTAAAGAGTACAATATAAAGAATCTGATATAGTTTCTTCATAATTTTTTTGTCAAGAAACAGATAATGAACATCACATAGATGGTTCCTAAAATCCTAATTCCAAATTACCTCTCTGGTATCATAAAACATGCTAACAGCCTAACAGGAGCCTACCCAAAATAGAAAAGAGAGTTGTGGCGAGTATGCTTCAAGGGTTTTCTAATGAACAACACAACACCAACAACAACAAGCCTTTATCCCACTATGTGGAGTCGGCTACAAGAATTCTTTTTCTCCGTTGTGTCCTCTTAAGAATCAAATTACAATCTAAATCTAATAAATAAGTGTCATTTCTAATATTTTCTAGCCAAGGGTTTTCTAATGAAAAGTTCTTAAAATTCAAGATAAGTGAATATTTTTCCATGTACAAGAAGCAAAAAAAAAAACAGAAAACGAAACTCCATGGAAGCGTACATAATTTTTTTTTCTTTCGCTATGTTAACATATCTTGCAACCATTAAGATTTACAGAGATAATTAAGGAAGTCAAACAACGATATGATATTAATTGAATTCATCATTTAAAAAGTTGCAGTCACTATGGACAACTAAATAAATTGAGGATGCAACATCATCATTTGATTTATTAGCAAACCGAAACAAGGCTCTACAGAAATTGGGAGGAGAGGACAATAATGCCAACATGCATTCAAGGCTGTTTTGATTACTTCTGCCTAATACCTAATGTCAATAATGAACCTGCAGAATCGTAAAGATCTGTGGATGTACTAATTAATAAAACCAGTAAACCGACTGTAAACATAGCAAAGGATCTGGACCTAACACCGTTCTTGCTAATAGCTTTTGGTAGGAAAAATACGTCTATGTGATGTCCGCCTAATTGCTTCAGTGATGTGAAATTTTGTTCTCCATAAGAAGGGTGTAGATTCAAAGCCAATACTTACAAACTTTCTGCACAATATTTCCCAAAAACATACATCAATGTATAGTCCAGGATGTTGTCATAACTCAAATCTGATACCTTAAACAAAGCAACAACCTGCAGAACTGAAAGCATTTATGGCGTGCTGGCCCCTGAACTGATAGTGGACAAGATATGACAGACAGGATCTACATTTATGATAGTGAACCTATACTTCAAGCTCCTATTCTAATTCGAGTTTCATGGACTGACTTCTTTGCTCATATTTGTATATTTGTCCATGAAGTGGGAATCATTGCTTATTTATCATTGCACCTAGGTGCTAGTGCAACCTTTCCATACTTTTCCTTGTATACATGTCATACAATGCATCACTTTCAAGGAATGCCTAGCATTAACTTAATGTATTAAAAGATTCATGTCATGATTATTCGACAAATGTATGCATGTCATGATTGTTAGCAAAGCTTTGCTTTTTTCATCGAGGGCTTGGGACCCACCCAAGAGTTCACTCACCCTAGTACTACTCCCACTCAAGAACAATTAATTGCGGAGTTCTAATAGAATCAAGAGTACTAATTTTAGAAATAATATAATTTAAACAATATTTACATAAAAATTATATCTAAAATATATAATGTTATTAAAGCTTAATTTCATCTAAATAAAATGATTGATATGTTTAATTAAATATATAATAGAATTTGAGTTTTAAATAAATAAGTTATTAGCTAATTAGCGTAGAAACCAATTGAAACAATAAATTTAGAATATGAGGATAAAAAAATTCTATTTAAAAATAGAAACTAGTTAAGTATAAAGCATACATGTTTTTAATAAGAGAATGTACATACATATATAGAGAGAGAGAGCATATTCAATTATATAAATAAAATGATTATATAAGATTTTAATTATATAACGAACAAATTAATTTTCTATTATGTTAATTAATAACTTAGATCTGTAAGAGAAAACACTTGAAGAAACAATTTATGAGTTATTGATAATTTTTAAAATAAAAAATATATAAATTATGATGATAAGAATATCTTATGTGTAATTACAAAGATGTTACACTAACGTGACAGAGTAAGGATTAAAGTGGTTCACCAAGTATTTTGAAATTGACATGGATAATCATACTTCTAATTTATAGTTTTGATTTTGGTTCTTCTAACTATAATGCATTATTTCTAATTGATATTTATCCACTTATTATTACTACAAATTATTTATGATTTATCTATGTTATAGATAATCAATCATGTTGAATTGAATGACATGAATTTTCTATCATATTTTATCATTTATCATAAATCATATAATGCTTACTATACAAACTACAAAGATATGAAATGATATGGATAATACAAATGAAATAATTTATGTAGAAATACTTGTATGTGCATGTTGATTAATAGAGTATACCCTTTTATGATGCTGGCTTGAGATGAAATATACCCCGTGCACGAAAATTAGAAAAGGTTATAAAAAAAAATAATGAAGTACCTTAACTAGTACTCATACTATTTAGATGATGGCTCTAATAAAGAATTTCCAAGCCAAGTCGTGACAAGGTAACAATAGCTATACAGCAATTTGTATTTATATATAGTGATCTTACTCATGTGTCCTTAAACAAGGTGAAGACAGCTAAGAAGCAGCAACCCAAAAAAAAAAGGAGGGGAGCCTTCGATTTATGAATGAGAGGAGATTAAAGAATCAACGATTTGCCTCACTCAGTTTTAGAGTCACTAACTGAATGTAAGAGGAATCTATCACCTTCTACGGATAAAATGAGCTGAAAGATTACAAGGCACGAGCTGCCGTTAGAAACATCTTCAAACACAAATATGCATGACTCCATAAACTAGCCAATTGATCCCTTTTTAGATACTAGAAGCCTGAGTAAGTGAGCAGTAAAGGAAGACTTTCAGAGACATAGCTAAGCGTTCCAGTGGCTCCACAGTCAATGTCCACAGGGCAGCAGTTAGCACAGCGTGGATAAGGAGGGCACAATGACAAATCCATTAATGATCACGTATCATGCATGGTGAACTTATTTTACATTGATTATAGCAACAACCAAACTCGTAAAAAATAAAGCAATTGAAAAAATGAATCAGAGGTAGCTGAGAGTTCCAATGGTTCCACACTCAATGTACGAAATAATCTCATCTCAACCAAAGGGCAGCGATCAGGTCAGCCAAGGTAAGGTAGACAAGACAACACTATCCATTTATAATCATGTTTCAGGAAAGGAAACTTGATTTCATATTGCTTACGGAAACAACTAATATGATAGCAGATAAATTTATTGACAAAATGCCTCAGAGGCTCATGTTCATATAATATGGTAGGTTTGAACTACTTCAAACTTTTGAGAGAAAAATCTTTGTAACCTCCAGATTCATAAATTTAGATTTATCTTTCCATTCGAAAATATTGTACCATGAGATTCATAAATTTAGACAGTTATATAAGCCACAGGACAACAATAGAAATTGTTGTGCCATTAGCAGATTTAAATTTAAAAAATCTATGGAAAAAAAACATGAAAAGAGATATACTTATAAATTGATCTCAATTTTCTTTAAAAAAAAAAAACTAACATCTTCCACCTGCTTTTGATCACACAATCAAATCCCAACAACATGACGCCCAGAGAACACGAGAAGGAGAACAAACCTGCTCAAAAACCCCTCTCTTCGCCATCTCCTCCCAGAACCGTAGAATCGCAAGGGCCACTCCCGAGGCCAAAGCCGACGCTAAGGTATCCTGCAAAAGCGTTCCGCTTCCCATCGACATTGCAGCCTTCGGCGCCACCAGCCGAAACTGTCTTTCGATGGCGCTCCGATTTCCGATATTTCGGCCAAGTTGGAAGCAGACGCTGGGTTGCGAGGCTAGCTGACCGAGGCGGTGAGGTTGTCGCCTGAGTAAGCCTCGCACTGGAGCCGAGGAAAAGCAGCAGAAGAGCAAGGCGGTCATTTTAAGAAGACGATCAACTCCAAGTCTCCAACAGTCCTAGGATTTTTACTCATTTATCTAAAAAATAAAAAAGGGATTTACTACCTACTACTTTATATTATATTATTTAAATATCTAATCCTTAAAATTTTAATATTTCATATTTACCCTCAGATACAACTTTGATATTTTATTCCTATCACTTATGTCACTCTATAAGGCTATAAACTTTAGTATTTTATTATCTATATCAATATTTGACTTATAATGATAGACATAAAATATTAATTTTTTTAATATTAAATATGAAAATAATAAGATATAAAATGATATGTAAATAAATCCCTCAATAAATTATTACACATTTAATTACTATTTTATTAATTTACATTAATAAAAACAAATTATGTTTGGGCAATTAAAAATTAGCAATTTCATAAAAGATAATTATAACCTTTTATATATTAAATTAAAAATATTGAGCAAAGAGTAAACGGATTATGCAAATCTAATTACAATATTAAAAATTATGAGTCATTATGTTTAGATCACACGTGCTACAGTGTTAGCAGGATGTGACAAGCACAAATTTTGATTTTTTTTTATTTTATTTATTATTTTTATTTTATTAAAATGAGTAGAAAAACTGAAATAAAAAAATGAGATGTAAGACTTTATTTCATGATATTTATATATATTCTATTTTGTTTTATATTCTTATTTGCATGAAAAAAAAGGAAAATATATATGCATTCACCATTTTCATCTTGAGCTTTATTAAACATAAAATGGTAATAAGAATTATCTTTATACTTTTTTATAATATAATTATTGATATGGCTTAAAAAAAAAATTTTGATCATCAAAAAATTTGATATTATGTTACAAATTTTAAAAATTAAATTCAAAATCATGTGAAGTTCGTTTTTAGAAAAGTTATAGCAAAATCAAACGTCGTGATAAGACAAACTAAATGAAATAAGAAGTGATCGTGTCATAATCTAAATGAGCCCAAATCAAGCACTTGAATATGATAAAAAGTTTTAGAATATTAATTGGAGGACCCAGTTGTAATTTTGCATGCTTATAATTAAAACAAGCGGCTCGACAAGACGAATCTAACAAATCCTTATAATGACGTTAAAATGCTTAAATATTACATAAACGGTCTATGATCAAAGGACTTGATATGAGCCGTCTGATGGAATAGAATGTTCTGAAATTTTGATTAAGGCTTCATTCGGGACGATTTTTTTATTGGTTCTTAAAATTGCTTTCTAGGAAGCAGTAAGAAAGCCGTCCCATACGAAACCTAAATCTATCAAAAAATCTACTCTAAAAATATTATAAATAAACCCTCTTTTTTTTACATTAAAAGAAATTTGATGTCAATGACATTATTGGAAAGTACTAATCTCTTGCTCTTCTTTATAATAAAGTTTTGTTAAAACATGGTAACAGTGCAAAATAATAATAATAATAAAGCATTTTTATAATTTAACATGTAAGATAACTGAATAAAAAAGAAGTGGAAATCACTTGAGCAGGCCACGAATATGAACAAATTGACCTGAATATTCAGATTTCTTCTATATGCCGAGCAGATTTATAAGGAAATTTCAATTATACTTCCTGTAAAGCAATTATAACAAACACAAAAGACAAAGATCTGCTTTGTTTTCATTGTTTTCTGGATGGTCTGAAAGGAAACGTTAAAACACTTCATTGGAACTTTCTTTTCAATGGCTGGAGCAAGGTTTCTATAAAGTAAACCATTCCATGCATTCTGGAAGTGTATTTGTGCCTGTATAAATTATAAGTGGCCTCAGTTTTTTACTGTGAGAGCTGGGAATCTCCTAGTTTTGCTGCTCTCACAGGCCTTAAGGGCGGATAAATTATTCTGCGCGGACATCGAACGTTGTCCGAAGACCAGCCATAATGCGCCACGTCACCCTTTCACTCGGAATCTCGGCTCAATACCGCTGACGTCGCATATTCTGGTTTGTCTCCGAACGACATTCTGCGTCCGGTCTCCACACATAATAATTTCTCGTAAGGGTGATGACGGCGATCTTTACTTCAGTCTGGATCATTGTTCATGTGCAACTTAGAAACAGAGACTTGCCTAATGCCTTTTCGATAGATTTTTGTGTTGGAGCCCTACATGGCTTTTTGGTGGGTGTTGTAATGATCTTTTACTTTCTTTCATATATGTTTGTCTTTTAAATGGAGCTAGCGTCATTCCCCCCTTTCTGAAATCACATTTGTAATATTTTTTTTACTATGATGGAATGGACTTAGGACTTAGCTCTCCTTTACTCATTTCCAAAAAACAAACGTCAAATATCTTCATGAAATCCTTTGAAATAATAGCGGATAATTTGGTCACATTTGTGAGATTCAACTTCGAAGGTCACATTTGTGATATCGATTGGGATGGCTTTCTTTCTGCTTCTTAAAACAGCTTCCTAATACAAAAATTAAATTTTTTGTACTAAAAAGTTGTTTTAAGAAGCAATATAAAAGCCGTCTCAAACGAAGTCTAAGTTTAGGATCTGTCAGAGACAACTTTCTAATTGTTTTGTTTTTCATGTAGCGATCAGAATTTCATTTGGCTATTGTTTTCTTATTGCTTTCTTACTATTTTTGTTTTAATTTCTACAGTGAAAAGCAATTTTTCGTAAAATATCGTAATGAAGTTGTTTTCGCCACAGCAACTTTATAAAATACAACAATTGTCCTAAACAAAATCTTTAATTATTGCGGCAATCAGGTGGCCAATATACTTAAGACCTTCAAAAGCAATCAGATGTATAAAAAAGTGACTGCAGATATATGGAAGCAAATGAAAAAGCCTTAAATGTAAAGGCTACTAACATTTAAAGTGATAGCAATTGAAGAACCGTCTTCTTCTGTTGGTGAAGAAGACAAGTTGGCTCCTATCCCATTCTCAAAGGTGAGAATTGATGGCTCTATTCATTTTCCTTGTGACAAGCCAAGCTATTAGCATTTAAGTTAGTGAATATGACCGCTCTGCTCCTTTTCCTTATCACGTGTAAAGTGAAGAGGGCTTGGGTGTTAATGAATATGAATATGTCATATTTAGTACTTTATAAATTTGATTTTTATTGCAAAAAATTTTTTATAAACAATGAAAAAATAGTGATAAAAAGCTATCTCAAATAAAACCTTAAACTTATATATATAAACAAAATAAAAAATCCCTTTTATAAAATTACATATTTATCATCATCAACAAATTAATCTCAAAATTACCCTTCTCATATATAAGAATAAATTTTGTGGGTGGGCCCACCTATAGAGGGTTCCGCACATGGATGCATGCGTCAAATGTTTATGAATTGAGACAAATTCATTGGACCCGCAGGATAAGCGGTCGATGTTGTTGGTTGATTTTTCATTTTTACTTTTATATTGAACTTCCTAACATAATTTTCACTAAAAAAATTATACCCAATATTTTTAAAAAGATTAGATTGCATCACATTTTGATAGCATAATCCTCTCCTATCACAATACAAATATTTTATATCCATATTACAAATTATTAAAGAGCACTTAACATATAATTTTAAACAACAAAGCCAAACATTTCATATCAAACAATCCAACTATCATGAAAATCAAAACATTAAAAAAAAATGTAGCATAATCATAAATGTAAAAATATTTGTTTCATCTCACTCTCTCTCAATCGAAAAATTATTTCGTCAGTTTACCTGACGTAGAGCTACATCAGGTAGCTTATAATATGTCGTCACGTGCACTTACCCTTTACCGCGCGGCCCGACGACCTGATTCGGACCAAATTCGGGATTACTATGTTCGCGTATTGCTCAGTATTTGCTCGGTATTGCTAGGTATTACTCAGTATTGTTTGGCAATAAAGAGAAATACCGCTCTGTGAAGATCAATACCGAGTAATACCTAAAAGAACTCAGTATTGCTCGGTATTCGTCTTCACATAATAGTATTTTTCGTTTTTGTCGAGCAAAATCGACCAATACATAGCAATACCGAGCTACGCAAACTCTCGGGTCCGTTCCGGGTTGGATCGTCGGGCCGCGCGGTAAAGAGTAAGTGCACGTTGCGACATATTATAGACTACCTGATGTAGCTCTCAATCGCTCTCCTTACTTGCTTTCTCTCTGTCTCTTCCACCTCATCTTGTGTTAATGATTGTTGTTGACACTTCTATTGTTATATAGCTTATATTCTTCAATGATCTAATGTGAGCAATTATTTAGCTTCATATTTTAAGAATCTTTCATTATTCAATTCTTATTGAAGCTCGTCTTCTATGGTACTACTTTAAATTCATTTTTACTTTCAAGTTTTCTTCTATTTTTTACTTTTATGTCCATCACAAAGTTGAATATATAATCAAAAAAATCCTTTTTTAATATGCATTATATATAAATTATGTAAGATTAAATTTATCATCCAATAAAATATATCTTAAAAATAGATTATGCTAATTACATTATGATTGATACCACAATATGGACCCTAACATCTACCAACACAGGTGAATCAATAATCTTTGATATATTGTTAATATTTTGTTATTAGGAGAGTTGAAGAGAGACTACCATTACCCTTTTCTTAGAGATTGATCAAATAAAATCTAGATAAGCAATTCTCAAAATTTTTAGAAGTATATTAAAAATTAAATATTAATATATTATTCTCTGAAGCTTTAGAACAGATGCCCACCTATGTCAAATTCACGAAGGATATTTTAAACAAGAAAATGAAGTTGGAGGAATTTGAAACTATGGAATTAACTGAACAGTGTAGTGCTATAATCCAAAAAAAACTTACTGAAAACTTAAATGCCCAGGGAGTTTTTCCATTATTTTAACTATTGAAGATAAATTCTATGGTAGAGTTTTATGTGATTTGAGATCAAGTATTAACCTCATGCCATTATTTTTAAAATACTAGATATTTGAGATGTTCAACCTACTTTTGTTACTCTTCAGTCAGCTGATAAATCTTTTGCTTACCCTAGAGGAGTGATAGAATATGTGTTAATT